ATAGGGTATCAAGGCTTGTAGGCCAATATGGCACAACTACAATACCTTCGGCTCGGTCTCTAATGATTTATAAATTATTACTGGAGTTTTTTCCCAACACCAAACCGCTATTTTAACACCTCGAGACGTGTTTCGACCACCAAGTGATCATCTTCAAGAGGAAGTTTGATTTTCCCCACAGTTCCATGTGCCAATTGCAAAATCACAAGTTACACGATTTCGCAATTCCTTCATTTCCTTCAATAAATGCAAACTCTGAAATGTTACTCAATAAGATTCAATAAACAGTCAGCTTTGATACTCAATAATCACCAATTATTGTATTGCAACTCACCCTATCTACTTCATGGCATTTCTTTAAGGATTCCCCGTACTTCCCGAGTCTTTGGAAAGCCAGGGCACATTCAGTCTGGAACCACATGCACTGCATCTCGTTGAGATTCTCCATGGCAGAAACGCCCTCTCTTGTGAATTTGCCGCAAGTGTCTTCTGCTTCTTTGACGAAATTCGCGCGCAGCATGTACTTGGCGCACTTTGAATTGATGTAACGGTCTGCGGTGTCTAGTGCTTGGGCTTCGTCCAACCATTTATAAGCTTCATAAGGATCTCCAGCATGCTATAAAAACAAAAAAAAACCTTTCAGTACACATAAAGTTTTCAATTTTAATTATTTGAAGAAACACAAGTGCCAGTTAGGCCACAAGCCACACACAGTTTATTTTTTGAGGTGCAACAATCATGAATGGAAATTTTGCCTCTTAATAATGAATTTGGAATCGAATTCAATCCTATTTTCATACTATGAAACTTGGTATATCTCAGGATCATATTTTAGTCTTTACCCTTTTATGATATGTAAACAATTTGCCTCAACTTATGACAACAAACATATTGTAATGGATGCTGATCACTGTCCATTTAGAGGTCACCTGAAGAAAATAGGGCTGTATAACAGAGACCTTAGCTGCAGGCAGGTGTAGGTCAGAAAAGAGCGTAAAAGTAAAACTAAAAATAAGACAATTTACTAAGAGTAATACATTCATTGAAATTTTCATTTTATTATTCAATAATTTCCTGAAGGGAGTAATATGTTTTCTCTAGTAGGAAAGACTCAAGTGTAATTTTGAAGCTGTAGATAGTACTAGAGTTTTTCAGTTCAAGTGGTAGCAGATTAAATAATCTGAGCCCTATTACATTGGGGAAATTGTAAGTCATTGCATTTTTACACTATGGCATATGAAGTCTGTCTTGTACCTGGTATCAATAGAATGCACATTTTCATTTCTTATAAAACAGTTATGTTACAGTTACGGTTATCATATATAAAAACACATAATTCGAATATATATATAGGCATGACAATGTTAGTATTTCAACATTTAAAAAATGTTTTTATAGCTTGTATTTCTTGAGACTTCTGCTATACATCTTATAATCTTTTTCTGGGCGACAAAAACATCTTTGCATGAAGAGGATGCTCCCCAGAAAGTAATACCATACAAAAGACGTGATTCAACTTGAGCATGATACAGCATAATAACCTGTTTCTGGTCTAAAATATTACGAAGGTTTCTCAGAAGATAATTCATGGAGTTCAATTTTGATATAACTGTTCCACAATGAGTTTTCCAGCTGAGAAATTCATCCAAGTGTACACCTAAAAATTTCACCGTAGAGCACGGAGAAATTTCATCATCTTCAATTTGCAAGTTGAATCTGGCTATTTCTTTTTGTCTAGCATGAAATCTTATCAAACGTGTT